CATTCCTGAAAGAACCAGATAGTTCTAGAAGCTAGAGGGCGCCACAGTGGTCATGTGACTCGCTGACGCAACAATATAAATAAACACCGTATGTCACGGTAACTGAATGATTAATTGACCTGAAGTTCGTAATACTGTAATTAATCACTTGAGATTTTTTGCTGTATTACGATCTTAAGTTTTTGTTTTGTTTTTTATAAACACTTGTAATATCAGTATCATGAAATAGCATTAGCCTTTGTATAACAAACAGTTGTAATATTAGTATCGTGAAATAGCATTAGCTTTTGTATAACAAACAGCTGTAATATTAGTATCGTGAAATAGCATTAGCCTTTGTATAACAAACAGTTGTAATATTAGTATCGTGAAATAGCTTTAGCCTTTGTATAATAAACAGTTGTAATATCAGTATCGTGAAATAGCTTTAGCCCTTGTTTAATAAACACGTGTAATATTGGTAACATAATATAGCTTTAACTCTCCTTTAATAAAGAGTTGTAATATTGGTAGACGTCTTATTTAATAAACAGATTTAATATTAGTTAAATGAAATAGCTTTCGCCTTTGTTTGATAGACAGTTGTCATAGTAGTATCATGATATAGCTTTCACCCCTCTTTAATAAACAGTTTTATTATCATTTGTATGGTAATGGAATGTTATATTTATCTTTGCAGGTTTAACAATGACAGGCTTATTATATTTTTACCTTTGTTTTGGGGTAATATTATCCATAAATGCTAAACCGAGCGCTGTTAGAGACAAAAAGTGTAAGTATTATGTTTTATTCTTTCTGATCTAATCTATCTGACAAAAATACGGTTACCAGGTGAAGGAAGCTGTTATCCTTCTCATAAAGAAATGTATATTAGTTTCTATTGTACATATTTAGATTTATAACGTACTCTCTTTGAAAATCTTTGTGTAGTTAACACATTAAAAAATTATGAAGCTACTTTCTTAAGAAAACCACACTCTTCAAGGCTAACTGAATATACTTTACAGCTATAATAATTAAGTCCACTAAAGGGAGATTCGTTCAAGATATGGAATCATACTGTTGCGTCAGCGAAGTCACATGACTAGTGTCACGCCACGTTTCTAGAACTATCCTGTACCTTGGCG